CATGTAACATAAAATATGCCGAGCAACCATATTTAGTACAATTCAGTGCCATTAAGTACATACGTGATGGCGTGCAAACACCGCCACTATTTTCAAAACTTACATTGCCCCAAGTGAAAACCCGCCCCCATTATGCAACAATTCCCTCTTCCCCAGGCCTCTGGTGACCTCTAATGTATTTTCTGTCTGTATGGATCTACCTATTCTAGATTTTCTATAAAAGGAGTCATGCAATATCTTACCTTTGTGCCTGGCTTATTTCAGTCAGTTTTCAAGGGTCATACATATTGCAACACACATCATACTTCACTCCCTCTTTATGTCTGCATAATATCCCTTTGCGTGTCTACACTGCATTTTGTTAACAGAATCCATTCATCCATTGATGGATACTCTGGTTGTTTCTACCTTTTGCCTACTGTGAATGAGGCTACTATGTACATTGGTGTACAAATATCTAAATTCCTCTTTTCAATTTTTTTAGGCAGTGGAATTGCCATATAGTAATTTTATGTTTAATTTTTGAGAAACTACTAAACTGCTTTTCCATAGTGACTGCACATTTTATTTCCTGCCAGCAGTGTACAAGGGTGCCAAATATCTTTTCTTTTTATTAATCTTTCATTCACTCTAGATTTTTCTCTGATGTACATCATTCTATAAGTTTGCTCAAGCCATTCTTTTATTAGTCATTAGCTTTTAGCTAATGACTAATACAATGACATGAGAATTCAACAGTTTTCCCAGAACTCACCATGACATGCTGTCATTTAGTGTGAGGATTCTTATCAGCCACCCTCCTTTCGATCATGAGAATGAGCTTTAGAATCTGAAGCTTGCATCTGGAGTCCACCCCCCTTTGCAGCTGTGTGCTCCAGTTTCCTCCTTTTTAAGCTAGGATGAGGTTTCCTTTGGTTGTGGTAACAAAGTACCACAACATTAGTGGCTTAAAATAACATGAATTATCTTATAATTCTGGAGATCCAAAATCTGAAATGGATCTCATGGAACTAAAAGCAAGGTGCTAGCAGGGCTGGTAACCAACTGGAGGTGTTAAGGGAGAACAGTTTTCCTGCCTTTTCAGTTTCCAGGGGCTGCCACATTCCTTGGCTTGTGGCCCCTTTCTCCATCTCAAGGTCTGCAATGGACAGTTGAGTCTTTCTCACATCATATCACCTGACACTGACTCTTCTGCCTCCCTCTTCCACTTCTGAAGATACTTTCAGTCCCATCCAGATAATCCAGGATAATCCTATTTTGAGGGCAGCTTTTTAGCCACCCCAAACTCTATCCGCAAATTTGCATCTCCTGTGCCATGTAACCAAACACATTCAAAGATCCTGAGGATACAACATGGACATCTTTGGGAGGAATTATTCCACTTAACATAACAATAGCAATGCCTTTCTCAACAGGTTTTTTTTTTTTCTCAAAAATTATTTGTTTTTTCAAGTTCTTTCCATTCTTCAGGACATAGTTATAAAGACTGAAACTTATTTAAAAGTTCTCTTCACTAATTTACTCAACAAAGACCCACTGAGCTGAATTGCTGCAATAAAACACACAGTAAGCACTCAGTAAGTGTTACCCATTATCACCTTATGATAGTCCTTGGGCAATTTATAATCCCCCTGGGCAATATGGTTGCAGCCATAAGAATCCACTTCTGAGTCTGAACTTCACATGTTTCATCTTCCTAAAGTCCACCAGCATTGCCTTCTTTTCTAGCTATCAAGTCCAACATGGCGTCCCCATCAGCTGCCTGTGTTTGTGTTAATACAGAAGTAGAAATGGATCACAGGGCTCCCCTCACTGCCTCTGCTACCTGTGAGGAAACACTCAGCAGGACCAGGAAGAACTCAGGCGCCCGTCTGGCTCTAAGGGCAGACTTTAAGCCTCCACTGCTGGGTCTGCGCTGTGCCCAGCTCCATGCTTCCTGGCTCCAGCTCTGAGGGTTGCAGCAGGGCTCTGAAACACCCCAGCCTCACTGTCTGCACTTCATCTACACACAAGCCTCCTGAGGTTTCTGGGGCTAGCCTCACAGAAGTCACTGATTCCTGACAGAAAGTGTGGTTTGTACTTAAAGTGGGCTGCGTCTCCACCGGAACCACACCTGCTCTGGGAGGTGTTCACTCCTGCTTCCCCTGTCTGTTGGGCTCCATCTGATGTCAAGCATGAAGTAAGTAAACACAGAACCTGCCAAATCCCCAAGGTTAATTTCTGAGCAGTGATCCTGATATTACTGATCAGAAGGCACAGTGGGGGTTTGTTCTGTTTTTTTGTCAATCAAACAAATACCATCTTTTATTGTATTGGTTCTCAGTTTTAATATTTCCCCCCTTTTTATCTCTAATTGTGCTCAACATTCATAGTCAGGTCAGTGACTGACGCCCCTGAAAGACACTCCCCTCTGTTTTGTCAGTGGCGCTGCACGACCAACGACAGTAGCCATTTTGTCATTGCTGAGACTGGAGTCCCAAGCCCTTCTCCATGCCTTTGCCTGGTGCTCAGGATCAGGAGGCTTGACAACACAGGAGCCCTCACTCTAGGGTTTCTGCTCCAGAACAACAGGCAGGCCTGGGTCTAGCCTGCAGTCTGAGAGGTCTGTGCTAGGGGGACTGGGTCTGGGCAAGGGTGTGAGTGCACAGAAATTGGGGCTGGAGCAGGGAGGACATCCACTGGGGCCTGGCTATGCCGGCTCTTCTTCTATCTCTCTTCCCCAGGTTTTTCACCTCAGGCCATTCTGTTTTCAGTCCTGACCATCAAGCACATTCATGAACACCTTCAGCTTCTCCCTAAGCCTCAATTCTCCTGAACGCAGAGAGGCAAATCAGAGTTGAACAATTCCAGTTCTTGCTGAGGGGACACAGAGAGCCCAGTCTTCCCTCCTGGGAGCATTACCAGGATCCCTTCTCCCCACCACTGCTGGCCCTGCCACCCTCTCACAGGACACCACACTCCTGGTGCTCAGCAGGGAGTGGGGGACAACTCTCTTTCCTTTCTCAAAGGCTCGCTCACATCCTCCAATTCATTAGCTCTTGACCTCCATTTCCTTCTGTCACCTCAGAAATCGTCGTTTTTTTCCTTCCTGGCAGCTTCCCGGCTTCTTTCATCTGAGAACAATCCATCCTTGATAATAAACCAGGGTGGGGAGGGAAAGCAGCCTCAGCCCTTTCATCTTTCTCTGGCACAGGAAAAGCAGTTCTCACCTGGACAGATACAACTGGCTTGTGGAAGGCAGTTCCCACAACAAACTGACTGAGGCATTCCTGCCCTAAGTCCCAGCTCTCAGCTCTTCAGATAAGCAAAGAGTTTCTTGTGGTTCCCTCTGAAAACTGCCCTGCAAAACCATCAGCAACTGCACGCTCTCTGGCCTCTCTGTGTTCTTCCTGGGTCAAGGGCCTGATGGGGAAGGAGGTTTGGTCACGTAAGCTGGTGATCCCACTCAACCAAATCTTTCCTTAGCTACATCCTCTCACTACCAGGCTAGTTATCTGGCTTTGTGTCCTCCAGAGCATCAAGAGGTGGGGAATCCCACTCATTTGGCTTTGTCATTTTTTATTTAGAAATTAAAGGCTTTCTATGTTTAGTTTATGGCTAAAGAGGTAATGAACAGACATACAAATGTAATTTACTGAATAATTATACTAAAAATGACATAAATAAGATTTGAGGTTAGCAAGCAGGGATCTCATGGTGGTAAAATCAATCACAATAATTGTGACAGTAAGAGGAAGGGTGAGAGAGAGAAATTCTGAGTCCTCGCTGGCAGATGACAACTATGTGCTGCACAGAGGAATAGACACTGACTACATAAAAATTATCTGATGAGAGCTCGGCTTTGCTACTCTGAAACCAATGAAAAGATATGAAATTATGTCTTCTGTTCAAGGAAGATTTTGAAAATAGGTATAAACTCAGAAAAAGACATCTTTAAAAACTGTTAGTGCTATGCTGTCGATTGTACAACAAATTTTGAGCCAAGTTACAGCAAGGCTGGTTTTTTTTTCATTCCATGAGGCTAACTGAAGACATTTTTGTCAATTTTTATCAGGTATGAACTAAACCAGTGGAGGGGGGTGGGGGCTGGGATCTTCTATCAATCACAAGGAGTTACACCCCCAAACTCTTTTTGGCCAGTCCACCACTCTGGGACAGTGTCTAACTCTCCCACATTCAAGGAAACCACTGTGCATGTCCCAGGTCAGTGGGGAGGAGCTGCCCTAGGGATGCAGAGCGTTGGGCACCCAAGAGGCTTTGCAACTCTGTCCCCAGTGCAGCTGACTGCTGCCAGGAATGGACTGGGCCATTCAGTCATAGCAAGCTGGCAACAAGGATTCTGATCCATGTGTTGCCAGGAGAGTTTTAATATCACAGTCATAAATTTCAACCAAGATAATTTTCACTTAACAGTGCTTTCCAAAAGAGCCAGTGAAGGTCTGGAGAAACACGTGCTCCACATGTCAGAAGGCCCAGGAATCTGAATCAGCGCCCAGGAAGAATCTGTTGGCAAAGTCTTTCTACTCTCCTAAAGGGAGTCATCAAAGCTAGTGCCAAGACCAAGTTCAGGCGCAGATCTGGAGGGCTGTTTACTGACCAGAGCACACAGCCCCAGTGGAAGAAGAAAACAAAACCCCACACAGCCAAAAAAGCAGGGCGGGAGGGGGGGGAAGCCCTCAATTATTTGTTGTTCAAGTTTTCTATAAAAATATGTTTAAAAACAATTAAAAATTCAGTTTGTGGTTAGTCTAATAATCTCATCGAGCCTGTGGTCACAGCGAGGGCGTGTTATTGTCTACAGGCGTCACTGGACAGTTCTGATAGGCGTGGGGTAGAAATGGTCTGTTTGGGAAGGTTACATGAATCCTGTTCATCTCACCAGCACGGTCTTGGCTTTGCTGAGGTCTGGCTGTTTGGTCCACCTCTGCCTCCCCTTCCCTATGCACCCACCCCCTCCCACAACAGGGGAGCTGGAAGGACAGTTTTTGTGAGTGTGATACCTTCCATTCCTGGTATCATGTTGCCTCATATTCTTGATAAAATGAATCTTCTTAAAGTTCTTTGGTCTGGGCGAACCTGAGAGAGTTCGACATCTGAAAAATAAAATCATTCCAGAAACACAGTCAGTTGCCCATTGGACAGCTGAGACATCTCCACACAAAGACAGGAAGGAAAGAGCAGACACATGGTTGAGTCACCCCAAGGATAATGAGGACGACACGGCTGGAAGCAAGGAAGCTTTAAAAAAAACCCAAATGACAGACAACTTCCTTGATAATACTGATAATAATTTATATGGGTCTCTGAAAAGCCAGCTAATGAAAACTATTGTCCCCAGTTACAATAACATAATCTACACAGATTCCAAAGACATCATTCTTTATTGTCATCTTAAAAAGAATCCCCCTGTATCAACACCGGTAACGGGAACACAAAACTGTAACTTTAAAGGATATGGGGGTGGGGGGGGGAGATTGGAAAATTAAGTTTAAAGAGTCTCTAATCATTTTTCTTCCATAGCAGGACTTTGACCTGATCAACCTGGACAGCTGCCCCAACTATATTGTGCCTGGAAGTTGCAACTTTACTTTGAATGATAATCAGACACCCGACTAGAAATTGTTTTCATTTTAAGATAAATTTTAATATTCGTTGTACAAAATGACTTGGCTTCAAATGCTTTTTTTCCCCTGATTGTATGACATTTGCTCGCACTACAGAGCTGGCAGAACAGAACACATATTGAAAAGGTCTTATTTTGTGTAGACATATATTTTTTTTAAAGATTTACTTAGTTATGCATACAAGAACTGGGGTACAGGCCAGAGGTGTGGAGTGGGGTGAGAGGATTCACCAGAGACAGAGTGGGGAACACAACAGGCGGATTGACTGAAGTACACTGCTGAGGGGAGCAGCGGGGTAGTCAGGAGAGGTCTGCTGCGCCATGTGGGTTGCTCCCTGGCTGGCCAGGGATCGAATACGTGCTGCAGTGGCTGCAGATAGCTTCATAGGTTGTGTATTAATCCCTTGCGTCACCAGGGAGGCCCCTAGACATATTTTTTGTATATATCTTTTTCTTAGTTACCTGGCAATCTCCAAATTACAGAATGGCAATCACAAAATACCAAACAACCATGAGAGTTTAAATTTGTTTTTTCTTAAGAAAGGGAGCTTTTCTGTTTTGGATTTTGCTACCAACAGGTTCTGTTACTTAAACCTTCTGACCGTGGCTACCAGAGCTGGCTCCTGCCATGGGGTGTGGGTACCTGAGATCTTGTACTCTAGGGGCTGAGTTTCAGGGAAGCGGTGCCCACTTTCCAAAGCCACACTGAGGTCTGCACTGAGTCATCGCCGAGCTCAGCCAGATCTGACCTTTGAGGTTCCAGGTAGGAGAGATGACCCGACAAGGAGGTACAATTGAGTGCACAGGGTGGGGGCACAAGGGGGCACAGGCTGGGAGAATTGTCAGCATCAGAGACCTGCACAGCAGGTCCAATCTTTATTCCCCTCCAAGGGCACAGCTTAAGGGAAAGTGACTGACGTCCCCAGCCCAGACCTCAGGGGCTGGTCCTCCAAGTCCCCTGACCTACCTTTCCAGCAAGGACCCAGGAGGCTCCCAGGAGCCTTTCCCAGGGAGAATGAAAATTATTTTTCTCCATAAGAGATAGCACCTTAAAAGGTAATTTAACTTAAATAAAAAATCCCACTGCAGAGAATGTGTACAGGCTAGAGTAGAAACATAGTCTCAGCTATGTCTTCATTTGGTGGCCTGAATCAGGAAAAGGGGGTTCCCCAGACCTTGGGCAGAGAGGAGGGAAAGGCCCCTCTGGTCATGTCTGCTGCATCTGAGCTGGCGCCACAGCCCATGCCAGATGCTTCAGCAGAAACCATCGTGTTCCCAGGCTCCACCTGCAAACTCACCACTGACCCCGACACATCACTATTAGTAGTTCAGATCCCACGCCAGTGTGACTGTCAGAATTAAATGCGATGGTGTGTACTCAGGTGACACATCCAAACACAAATCTACACTTTGACATGTAGACAGGCAAATCTTCATAAACAAACTTCAAGTGTTGTGATTATTAACAAACTATCAGCTACAAAGGATGGTTACTATTTGCCCCCTTTCTTCCTGAAACTGCAGCCCTTATGAAGGATCCTAAACTCTTGCTTTAAAATATTCTTTTAAAAACCTGCAGAGCCTTGTCTGAGGACATTTCAGACAGGGCTAGAATAGGTATGGCACCCACAATTCCTCCTCCACGCCAAGCTTCTGAACCCAGATTTAGTTGGCTTGGGGCTGGAGGGGACAGGCCCTCACTCTGCCGTCTTGGGGCAGCCCCTGGAAACAGACCCAGGGCGTCCAACTGCCTCAGTTGTACCTCTAGAACAACTGCTCAAGGCTGCAGGTAACCCCAGACCCCTATCTCTTACACTAAGAAGGTTCTAGAAACACCAGGGAGGAGAGGAGAATCTCTGAAAGTGTAAAGGTGTGTTTCCATTGGTTTCTGGACAACACCAAGCATTCTCAAGTGTTCTCACATCCTCACTCTGCTTCTCCCAAAGAGCAGACCTTCCCGGGCCAGCTGTCTGGGGGTAATGGGGGGTAGAGATAGACTGTGAGTGGGTTCAGGCACCTTACAGAACTGCCACCTCTAAAAACTCTGGCACCTCCCCACTCCCTGAAGCAGGCCCAGACTCCACTGCAGGGTTGGCCCGAGGCTGCGCCTTCTCCCCTATCATTGTCCTCCAGATTTGAGCATGAAATTCCCAACTTTCTAATGAAAATGAAAGTGGCCAAAAGGGCCACTGGGGCTGTGCATAACAACGGGGTTGGGGCAGTGACAGCAGTGGCTCCAACGCCTAGATGGGCTAGGAAGCTGGGCAGGCGGTAACGGCTGCCATACATGCTGCAGATGAACTGAGATTTTTCTGGATTTTTTAGTAGATGTCCTAACTCATTTTTAGGGTACCTGTTCTCACCCATCAAGTGGAAAACCTCTCAGTCTAGTCCTCTTCTTGTAAAAGCTCAATTCTCAGAGCTCTGGTGGATATAAGAATCTAACTATGATGTACAAGAGAAAAGACTTCAGAGGACAACTTGACAAAGGGTCTTTATTTTAATATCGGCACCCAATTCTTAATGGCAGAGCTGGGGATCTAGCCCTTCATTCGGCAAGCTGTTCGTTGTCACAAATGTTTTTAAGCATTCAACTAAACCACCAGGGAATTGCAGAAGCACTTTAAGAGAATTGTGGCGTTAGCAACAATTGCCAAGGAAACTGGAAGACTGAACCCTCAGGTTGTGGCAGGTTAAGCAAAGAACGAATTAATTTCAAAGCCTCCTGCATTCACGTGTAAACATTCATTTAAAAACACACATTTTAAATGATGCAAAATTAAGTTAGGATAGAATTAAATTAAAAACTAATTTAATGAAAGATTAGCTGTTTCTTGTTAGCACTGATTACAGGATACACTTAATTATGCAAAAGGTTTTTAATAGATGCCTTGGAACCATCTGTTCAATGTGCAGAGTTTAAAGCAAGTTGGGCTAATAGCCTTCCACCCCCTCACTTCCCAAAAACACTTCAGTGTCATTACTGGTACATTCATTTCACAGAATTGGGGAGCTGGAAAGGGCCTCAGGGATAAGACTTATCTGCCCCTCCCATCTTTCAGATGAGAAAACTGAGGTCCCAGAGAAACTAGTGCATTTCCAAGGCTACCCAACCAGTTAGTAGAAGAATCAGACCAAGAACCAGGTCCCCTGACTCCTAACATAATGCCCCTGCAGAAATGCCGAGCTAATTGAATTTCTCAGGAAAGAGTAAGCTCCTAAGTAAATAAGAGAACTATTTTGCAATTTTTAAGAAGTCCCATTTGGGAAAATAAAAACATCTTAAACTGCTCAAACTCCTTTGGAGTCTGACTTCTGCAAATTTACTCAAGATTTGTTGGACATTCAGTACAGTATTCTGTTAAGTGTTGGACAAAAATCCGATCGAGGCACATAAACCACTTTTACTCTGATTATGCGCTCACAAGACTGAGGGGTGGAGGGTTGAGCTTGGGGTGTGGGGGAGATTCTGAGAGAAGGAGGCAGGGGTGACAGAGCATGTGACCAGGAACACAGCACCCTGTCCTCCTCAGGGACACCCCCTACCCCCTCCAGGCCCTGCCATCTGAAATCCCTGAGGAAAAAGTAATATTTTTAGCCTGTAACTTTTTTTACCTAGTTCCTGACTCAGTTACTCTATTGCTCAAAGGGCCATGGCTTTTGCAGCCTGTGGAGACCCCAGTGGCTTTGCAGCTCTATTCATTGCTATTTGTGGCAGGGGTGACCTTACCTGTTCAAATGCCAAAGTCCCTCAGTGCCTATTTCTCTTCTACTCTCACTGATTACCTTGGACCACAGCCAGTTCCCTAGTTTGACTTAATGCACTTTTTGTAAGACTCCTTCCAGGAAACAGTCTCTCCTAACATTAATAGTGACTGATAGGAGACTTGTAACCAAACCACACTTGTCCCGCAGCTACAAGCCTCTCATCTGAAGAAGGCCCCAGAGATTCCATTCATTTTCAAAAAGACATCAAAAATAGAAATCTGACTGTCCAGACCTGGCTTTCTCTTTGGCATTTCATCAATCAAGGTCGCACAATACTTTCCACCAGACCCCAGGCCAATCTGTGCACCATTCTTCATCCAGGTGGCCTGTGGACAAGACCTGTAACCTGGGCATTGAAGCTCCAGGTAGGGCAGGAGCCTCTCCACAGCAGTACCCGCCCAGACGGAGAGAGAGGAGCCCAGGACCTGTAAGTGCTGGCGAGTGGCAAGGCGCAAGGAAAGCAGATGTAGTTCTGGGGGGGCCCTGGTCTGGCCAGTGGGATTCCTCCCACGGGTTTCTACCTCTGCCACCCGCTGCACAGTCCCTGTGAAGCCACACTGTGTAACCCTGCCTCATCTCTGTCCCAGGGAGGAGCCCCTATGCTAGCCAACTGGACTGGGGTTGACTAACGGAGGGCCAGATGAAGCAGTGCAGGAGTAGAGAGAAAATTGCCTGGCATGGCTCAGAAATTACTGTCTCCCTTCAAAAGATGACTCCCAAGCACTTCTCTAATCCTGAAGGAGAGACAAAGGGAGCCCCAAGGGAGCACTCACCGAAATCCTCAGCAAGTTTCCCCAGTTAGTAAGTGTGGAGGGATGTGGGCACCTCCTAACATGGCCAAGACTGTGACAAGCACATGAGCACCCTGAAAAAAGGACATTGCCAAGCTCCTTTTCTATCAAAGCATCAGTTTACAAAATGAAATGGAAGCCACGAGGGGAAAATGCTCAAATTCTTAGCAAACTGGGCTATGTCAAAACTTAAATGGGAAATTTAATAGTTTTCTAGTTCTAATGGCCCTCAGGTTTGGGTTTCCAAACTACGAGTCTGGGTATCATGTGGTCATTTAAAAAATTGAATTCTTGGGCCTCCCCGGTGGCGCAGTGGGTTGAGCGCAGAGCTGTGAAGCTGTCCGCAGCCTCTGCAGCGCCGGTTCCATTCCTGGCCGCCCAGGGAGATTCCCACATGGCGAGGCAGACTTCTGTCTGCTTTGGTTGGTCTGCCTGTTCTGCTCCCCACTCTGCCTCTGGTGAATCTTCTCCCCCTCTCACAATTCTAGCCTGTGCCCCAGCTCTTGTATAAATAAAAATAAATCTTTAAAAAATAATAAAAAATTGAATTGTTAGACAGTAACTTACAAAAAAGAAAAAGCCACTTTGACATCTTGCACTGCAGGCTGTTGGCATTAACAAAAACTAACGCTGAAAACTCACCTCCGTAGAGGGGCGTTCTCCTCAATATCTTCCAGGGTCTCCAAGGATGATCTCTGAGAGATGAGGCGGCGTCTGCAGTTAGCAAAAAAAAAAAAAAAAAAAAATTAGGAGTTAAAGTTAAAGTGACATTGTAAAGTGGACCAGGCATTTCTGTACATCTATAACTGTTCTAAAAAATAAAAAGCCCATTAAAAGAAATGGAATAAACGATGTCTTTAAGAGCTGCCATGTCCTCAGCCTGCAGCCCTTAGTGCCAGGCCCATCTTGCCTTGCTGAGTCCTGAGATTCTGCCTGGTAACAGGGCAGCTTTGTTATGGTCAGGGACATGACTGGTCCTTTTTATGCTACAAATGCCCCCAAAATGAAAAGAGACAAGGTGCTTCTTGTAATATACAGTACAACTTGGGCACTGTGTGCACTGCTTCTGCGGCATTAAATGGTTCTGTCAAGTATTCAAATATCAGAGGTCTGAGGCTGGTGAGCTGATAAATATTAAATTTTAAAACCATTAAATAAAATCTCAAAATTATTAGGATGCCATAAGAAAGTGATGGTCTCTGGATGCTGATGATGTCAAAAGAAACCAGAAACAAGAAAGTATGATTCCTCTGGGAGAGTTTTCTGGATACCAGTAAGAATAAATATCAGCACATGATTAATCAAACCATTAATTCTTTCGAGCTGCTACAGCAAAACACCTGCTAAAACTTCCCCAATCTAGTTTCTTCTGCCAACTAAAATAAGAACAGATCCTTCGGTTAGATGAGAATATCTGTTTCAGATGTCAGGTGGTGAAAACTTTATCAGAAATCCACTTAACAAGGACCATCATTTCTTAGTCAATGATTTGGTATGTGGGCGGTGGGGAGTGGGGTGAGTAGAGAGAAAAATCTGATTAGGTTTTTACTTAGAAAAAATGAAAAAAAAATAGTCTATTTGGTGTTATATTTGACAAAATTTAAGTTAAGAATATGCAATTACAAGAGGGGAGGGTGTGGACAGCACAATGGATTCTGAAGGGGGACTATGGGTGCTTTGGTGGTGAGAGAGCTCCGGTGACCACACGTGAGGGGAGAATCCTGTGCTGTCAAAATATTAACAAGGATATAAAACAATGGCACTTCATTAAAAAAAATTAAAAATAAATTTTAAAATGCAATTATAATCTTGTTCTAAAGAATAGAAACTGAAACAGTATTTTGTTTTGTCTGTACTTTTCTTACCAGCTACTGAGTCCTCTTGCTTCATATTTTACTTTTATTTATTTATTTTTAAAAAAGATTTATTTATTTATTTATTTATTTATTTATTTATACAAGCACTGGGTAAGAAGCACAGGAGGGCGAGAGAATTCACCAGAGTCAGAGTGGGAAATAGAACAGGCAGGCTGATGAAATACACTGCTGAGGGGAGCAGCGGGCACAGCAGGAGAGGTCTGTCATGCCATGTGGGACCCTCGCTGGTGGCCAGGGATCAAACTGGCACTGCAGAGCCTGCGGGCAGCTTCGCAGCCCAGCGCTCAGCCGCTGCGCCACCAGGGGAGGCCCTTTACTTTTATTATTAAAAAAATTTTTTGGATTATGTTTTAATAAGATAATCAGAAAGATCAATTTTGCAAACTATTCAAGGGTTTGTCATTTTTCTAAGCACCTCTCTTATCTTTTGCTATTCAAATTCTTTCTCAAATATCACACACCCTCCTTTTCTCTCCAACTGAAATCTGTTCTCATTCTTGCAGGTCCTCAGAGTTCTCCAACATCCCCTTCAGTATTTTCCATGCCATGCTGGACGTTTTCAAGAGCTGCAGTATCACTCTGAAAATGAATTTCACTGAATTTCCATTTCCAAAACTGCCAGATTTCCAGCAATGTCCCCAAGGCAGTGGTTGCAGGGAGACACCTGACCTGACCACACCCTTGCTCAACCGACCAGGGTCAGGCTGGCTGGCCTGGTGTCACAGAGCACTCCATAAAAGGGGGAGCTACAATATTCCCTACCCCCGCTTAATGATCGCTGGAGCTGAGCCTCAGGTGAATCTGTATCGCATGAAGGGCAGGTGGGTTCCAAGAAAGAAGGAGAAAAGAAGAGCTCTGGTTCCTGCAGCCTGACTTGCACCCTGGTACTGCTGGAAAGGAGACATGGAAGGAAACACATGGAGGAGAGACATGTAGATACCTGTGGATGAGACACATGGGGAGGCTGACAATGGCAGCGTTGTCTTAAAACAGTATCTCCTTTTGTCTCAGCTTTTTGGGACCTGCTTCAGAACCCCTGTCCTATGGCTTCCTGCCAGAAGGTTCCTTAGATATGTGGCAAGCTTTGATGCCTTAGAGTAGTTGCTTTGGGCTAACTCTGTTTGGCTAGACATTTATACACAAGGGGGTGGGTAATTTGGGGTGTTTTATTGGGACACTAATATTCTTTATTCTCTTTCTTCTCCATGCACAGTTATTCCATTATAGTTCTTTCACACTAAGAGTATGCTTTGCCTTTGTGCACATGATGGATGGATGCTTTTAGAGTATGCAAACTTAGGGGTCCCAGGGTACCCCTTGGTTGCATGCTAACACTGGCTTTGGTCCCTCCTCTAATTCTAGTCAGTAACACAGGGTAACCCAAAATGTCTTGAGCATGAGCCCACCCAAGACCAGGTGCTCCTTCCATACTACACCCCCTTCTGAGTGTAACTGACTCTGCACGTCACATTTGCTGATGCACTGTCCATCTATAAAATTAGCGGCCCCCTCCCAGGCGTCCATGCAGTTCTCACTTAATTTCAGTGTCTCCACCATAGTCAGAAAGGTAGTAATTAAAGTAATATTTACTTTGTTTACTTCCGCATAATGTTCTGAATTTTAAAATCAAAAGCAAAATATTAATTTAAGCATGCATACTAAATTGTCATTAGAAATAACTTGGCAGGCCGAAATAAATGTTAGCATTTTAGATCCTGGAAAGCTCAACAAATTCTGTAGAACAGCAGAATAGCAGTTAATGTTTTGCTTAATCTGCAACCAGACTGAAGCAACTGTGCTGCTTCAAGGACACCCCTCCTTCAATGACCCTAACACAGATCCACTAGAACCTTCCGTGGGCAGCTCCTTGGGCAGAAAGCCACAGGCAGACACTTGGGTTCAACCTGCTGGAACTGCAAGTCTGGCCTGTTGGGAACCAGCACAAGCGTGAGGCAGGCTTGACTTCTCAAGGGGGAATCAAGGAACGACCAAAGAATTCCATTAACAGCCCCTCAAGTTTCCCCAGTGTTTGGGGCTGCTTCTCCCTCCTCGTGAGCAGCATGGCCATTGCTCCAGCTGAAAGGGCCAAGTGAATCCCATGGTGAACACACCAGGGCCCAGCCTGGCAGGGGCCCACAGGCTTTTATGCAACTCAAGCCAGGGTGCACACCCCAGGAAAATGGGCCCATTCAGAGAAGCGTACAAGTTGACAGTTCCATCGAAGAGCTGCATCTAGCTGTTTCCAAGCTGGAAAAGAGACATGCTTTTTTAGGAAAATAACCACAACAGAATATATCCTTCTATACAAGGATTTGTATTTTAAAAACAAAAAACCAGCTCATGAATTGAACAGATTCTCTCTCTCTCTCTCTCTCTCTCTCTCTCTCTCTCTCTCTCTCACACACACACACACACACACACACACACACACACACACACACACACACAGGGCAGGCATCTAGGGTCTGAATTCTTTAAGGGAAACAAATCTAAACTCTAATGCCCACCTATTCCATTAAATTCAGTGACTGCACTTCCCCTTTCCTTCATGAACAGAACCAAGCATTTAGATACAGAACTGTCATTACAAAGCAACTGTCATAAGGTGCCATGAAACCGAAGACGTGATACCTGCCCTTCCTACATAAACACTTAAAATATATACTCCTATATAAATGTTCACGTCCCATGAACTGGTGTTGCTAACCCAGGGGTGCTCATCTCTGCCTCCTGCCGCCTTCCCAGATCCTTTGAACAGATGCAATAACCTCTCCCTGCATTCTAGCCTCACAAATGGAAGAGAAGGCCAAGGGCATGTGGCCAACCGTCTTCACCAGCCACATTAACTCAGCAAATCTGCCTTATAAACTACGTCCATTACCATGCAGACTCATCTACACAGTTAACCTGTGTGGTCTTTGCAAATTTTAATGATTGACAAAGAAAACTTAGCCTCAGACTGAAACAGCACACTACCTTATGAACCAAGAAGGCCTACAGTAAGAGCCCAGCAGAGCTCAAAAGTATGTGCTGGTCTTCTGATTTCAGGGCTCCCTGTGTTGTCTGCAATCACTGTATGGGCCCTTCCACACTGGCCATGAACACTTTTGAGGCTGATATGGTTCAAGTTCAATCCTTGTACCTAAGTCAGTCTCTCTAAAGCACCCAGGCACATTTTAGAACATTATCCTTTCAATGCTGCACTCTGGGGAAGGGCGTGCTAATCTGTGACAAGACATCTGTGTGGATCTACCCGTGTGGACCAAATTAATCTGCTTATCACTGGGGTGAATGGCACATCACTGTACACTCCGGGGACCCGTGGCTGCTCACCATGGTCGTTATAACTCATCCACCTACATAGGAAGCTTATGAAAAGGTCACTGGGTGGAAAGAGAAAACACCACATAGACAAGCATGTACTGGGGTGACAGGGACCAGACAAGGCAGGACCCAGAACTTCCCAAGTGTCTTTTAGGCACAAAAGTGTTACCAGCTCTATTTTCAGGACAGGGGCAGTGACCAACCAGCCACACTAACTAACCAGGGGGAAGCCGGTCAGTGGCCCGGCCATCCTGACAGGCCTCCTGTTGGCAACGAATCTGGGGACTCCAGGATGGTGAGGGGAAAGGTTGTGCTGTGCTCAGGATACTACCACTAGCTTTTCTGGTAAACTAGTCTGCTAAACAGTTGCTTTGGGGACAGAGCTAATGTGGGCAAGGAGAAGGGGCAAATGCCAAAGAGCCTGACTATTGCACTCTGGGCTTACTGCTGTCTCTGCTGGCCCGTGAGGCAGGGCAGGGTCACCTGGGGTCTAGTTGGGTGAGCTGTGCAAGG